GCTTACCAGTTCAGTTCTGACTACCCATTACCTATATCTCCATTAAATCTTTCTCCACTGTTTACAGTGGAGAACAAATTCAGCCAGTATAATTTTAGCTGGGTCTCCAGCTATTCTTCAAATGGAAGACAATATACATTCAGCTACAGATTGCTTTAAAAAAAAAAGTGCATATACACATACATGCATTCATACACAGCCCAGTTTCTTGCCGTAAGAGTACTTTTCTGCTACATATTTAGCACATACACAGACCAATTCTCTGTGATATATGGCTCTTACGGCCATGAAGATGAAAAATGGTCAAAACTCATCCCTAAATTAAACAAATTGATTCCCATCTTTACCCTTTTACCAAAATAATTTACTAAGGCTTAAGAAGCAAGCAGACTCAAGGCTGGCATGTCATACAACCCATATATTAACTCAGTCAGCAATAAATCTCCCCTTACTTTCCCAGCTCTATACTACTTTCTTAAATAGCTCACTATAAAGCCCCAACCTAATTAAAAACAGCTTTCTCGGCAACAGTGGCCTTGATTTCACTTATTTACACATTAACTGCAGCCTCCGTTTGGCCAATCGAGTCTATCCCCTGCACCACGCAGGGCCTTTTATCTGCCCTGGACAGCATTTTCTCCAGCAGATGAAGTAGATGCCGATTGATTTGCTGTCGAGCATGGTAAATTAATAGCAACAAATTGCTGAGGGCCCCATCTCGCTGCTCCACCATGCTTCAGCAGTTTTGCTTTATTTGCTCCATGATGGGCAGCAGTCAGGCCTCTTCAAGTCAATTTCTTCTTAACAACCTGCAATACTTTTCAATGGCGAAAATAGAGCCGTTCCTTGTAAGTCAGAAATCAATATCCTATTACCCTTAGAAAAGGCTAAACAAGCAGTATTGGCAATCCACTTGGTACTAGAGGGTATCAGATATAATGCAAATCCATACCACTTCCCTCCTCGTAGTTATTACAGTTTGCTAAAAGGTTCCTAATGCCATTTATCATCATTTACCATCGACTACTGCAGCTATGATTATGATATCCTATCAGCTAGTAGAGCCCTTTCATTTCTATCCAATTAATATTTTAGCAGCACTCAAATGGTTCTTGCCCAAGCCTCGTAATAAAATTTACATGGATTGGACTGAAACAGGGAGTTTTCTTACTGTGATTAAAAAAGCGCTGTTCATTTATTTTTTAATATCCAGTTTCCTGAAGATCTGGACCTTCTATTAAAAATGCTAAAATTCTACATTTTTTCCTCTCACAATTAGTTCAAAGACAGCTTTTTAACCAAAAAGAATCCGAATTTATGGTCTGCCACCTTCAAAAACAAAATTAAAAAGTGAATGCTGTATCCTATGTATGTTCTCCATCACTCTCATTCACAAGTGTCTGTCGTCTCTAGCCAAAGACAGACACTTGCTTTAAGTGATAATTACAGTACTGAATTAAAACCTTCAGAAAGCGTGTTTGATTACAGCAATTAAAATAAACTGTTTACCATAACATTAAAACTGCCTAATTTCAGAAATTAAATCGAATGACCAACAATAGCAAGTAGCAGCACCGTATTAGAAACATAGAGCAGCAGATCAACTATTCATTCATAAACTATCCACTGAGCCTCTTAAAAACAAATGTTAAAAAAGCAGCTTAGTAAGAAATGAGCATTTCCAGGCCCATTCAAATGCTCACATTTATTCTAATGCTGCAATTTAAAACTGGAGGGAATGATCTGTTCATACTGCAACCCACAACGTCTAACTTTTCAGCTTTTCTGTGGAATGTGTCTGTCTTGAAGCTTTATTGATCCTACTACAGAATATCAAGAATTAGGTTAATATTTTAGACTGTAACACCACATGTCACAACACACCCCACACATGTCTTTAAAAAAAAAAACACAAATGACTAATTCTACCAGTCTAATGCTATTTACTCAGTTACCAAAATTTAAATTAATTATGTTCTCAAACATAATTGTTAAAAATTGGCAACATTATGCAGGCTTAATTAAGATTAAATCCAATTTACTAAATGTACTTTAATTGGTACTAATTACATTAGCTTTCCTTTCAGAATGACAAATTCCCCATAGGTTTCACTTTAATAGTCTTCTATCAAAATCAACACAGGATGACTGATGAAGAGCATCACATGAGGGGTGGGAAAATAAATGTTCTTCCTCCCTCCTCCTTCTCCCCCCAATACACACGTGCACACACACCATCACTGCTCTATGCATTTATTCTTTTATCAGTTTGCTAAGTCACAGAGTCATGACTCCATCACAGCCATCATTTTCTGTTCCAGTGAAAAATTTATCTAAAAATAAACACTCTGTGGCTGGGAGCAGCCAAGAAGAACAGAAGCTTTAACAGAAAAATACACAAAGGTTTCAAATATCAGGGCCACCAATTACTAGGGTACTTCCAAGGACTCCAGGGAGTCCTGCTCTTGAACCCTTTGAGACACAAATCTAATAAGTGAATAAGCCTAACCTGATCTTAAGAACTAGGCGCAATTACGCCGAAGGGCAACTTCACTGCATTATTGCCTGCTTTCCATTACAAGGGCATCCAGTGAGTACATCTGGAAAAGAACCTAAGAGGAACCAAGGCTATCTGCCCAGCAAAACAAATAAAGACAGATATGCCTCTGTGCTAAAGTGAAAAAAAGAAAGAAAATATAATAAGTAGGTGGTTTGCAGGGCTGTCTGTATTTCATAATGTGATAAACTGCCCTCAGGATTTCTGATATGATTGAATTTAGAAAGCTTTAAAAAAAAAAAAAAAAAAGTGAATCGCTCAATTTCAACTGGGCACAATTCAAAGAGAGAGGAGGAAGAAAAGGGAATTTAAGGTGGAAGGCTAAGAAAGCTTCACACACATCCAATGAAACAATTGACACTACGTATACAAACACTCGGCCTTAACAGTGCGATCCTAAAGTAAAATGGCAAATGTTTTGTGCTTGCCGAACAAAAGGAGAAAGGAAAAAAAATCTGTAGCAACAGAAGGGAAAACATGAAAGATAAAATTAACATCAAATATAAGAATGATAGTGAAAAAGTTTCTTACCCGCAATTAATTTGTCAACATCTGACAAAAATATTTAAGTGTTTTGCATGAGAGTAAAATATTTAAGTTACTAATTTGAATAGAAGCAACAGTAATGAAAATGGTGTTTAATTCAAACCCTGTCCTTTGTAATCCTCACATTTATTTGTAATTAACTATTTAATTTCTCCAGAATTTTGTTAAAGTCTCCACTACCATTCTGCAGTTTCTGAACTATTTTTTATTATTTAAAAATTAAGAGGGCTTTGGTTTTCCCTCAAAAGAAATATAACTTCATATCTCACATGCAAACAGATTTTGTCCTACATACAGAATTTTGTGGAGTCAGTTTAAGTCTACATACAACTAATTGCTGTAAGAATACAGTATCTAGATATATAAACAAGTTTGACTGCAACGGTGGTCTTCAAACGCCTACGAGAATTTGCTGCGTAGGTTGCCTGTAAGAACTCGGATTTATGAATTGTTTTTGCCCTTTTAACAGTACCTGAAATAATCTAGCTATTCATTTGAGAACAGCTCCAAAACGTCTGAGAGTTAATAAGAGTCTTTCCACTACTACCAGTGACGTGAATGAGGTCCACAGAGTAACCATATAATTAGAATCTGATCAGCTAGAGGTACAGTCTTTTACTCTTGATCGCTTGTTAAATATACTTGTTAAGTCTTTATGGGTAGGTATCACATTCACGAACAGCACATTTGACCTCAACAGGGCTACGTATGTCTGCAAAACAATGTATATGGATATATTGGATAATAATGTATAAGGTTCCATAGATTTGGAGCTGCAGATCAAAATGTTTTAAGGCAGGAAATCCCACTGTCTTCTTACCTGCATGCCATCTAGCACAAATGGTCCTAATCAGTATTGTGGCATTGGGATGCTAATGGGATACAAAATATAACAAATAACACAAAAAAATTGACTTATATGTTTGCACTCGACCAGATAAAAAAATCCTATTTCCACAACCCAGAAAAGTTCAAAATCCCTTACTTTGAACAGAAACAACGTACAAACCAATTTTAAGATGGTCTTTCCTCTCCCATCCAACCATTTCTTTATTTCTGCAGTTTACACTACTTAGCAACACAGCTGAATTGCTCAACCATTTGCTAAAATGAGTTGTCAGTATTAAAGTCTCCCATATAAAAAGTTCCGTCACTGGAAAAGAGGTCAGATGTTTAATTCATTCTCCTGCAGAGAAGGTTAAAAACATACGTTACTGAATAACAAATTCTGATTTACACTACCATGCTTCATCCGACTAACCTCCTGCTAATCATGGCGTTAAGTGTTAGACTTCAAGGCACAAAACTGAGCATGCTAACATCCTCATAGGAAGCTCATTTACTCCTTAGAGCTTGAGTAAATAACACCCTATTTTTGGACAAAGGTCCAAATAAGTAGCTTTTGGGAAATAAGAACATATCTGTACATCAATTTCCGTTGTAGTTCCTGCTCAAATCTGTCCAAGTTAATTGAAGATAACAGTATTTTTCTATATATAAACAGAAAACCCTTTACATCTCATACACATTTATGATGTAGCTATTGTTCCAAAAAGTAAACCTCAAAAGTTGGAGGTTAGATAAAGCCGAAGCTACAACCCACGTTCCCCTCGCTATTTTCGTGGGTACTCTCTCTGTAGAAAGACCACTTGCATTTGCAGAGGTTACATGTGGAAAGTCAATATAGTAACACACAACTGTGAGCTAATACAGTAACCTATACAGAGCCATGTATCATACACAAGACGGAAGTTTCAGGGCTCCGTGGAGCACAAAAAAATATCCAATGCGCTTAGGCATGCAATTAAATCAACTCTCAAAGAGTACACATCTGTTTTAAGACTGGTGAGAGAAATTAATACAGTACATTCTTACACAAAACAAAATATTTGCCTACCTGTTTATGCATCTCTATATTCAATCCATAGGACATCTCATAATACTAAAAAAGAAGATAACGGCTCTGTTAGAACTTGCAGTCATGAAAGTCATTCCAAAATTCACTTCGAATCAAACATCATTTGTATAAAGACATACAGACCTACAAAATATTTACTAGCCTTGAAAAGCTTCTGGAATTTGAAAGTACATTTCATAGCAACCTTTTTTTCTTTTTTGCTTTATCTACGTTGCTTCTTGTCAAATTTACAAAGAACAGGCATAAAATAAGCAAAAACCAGACAACAACCACCAAAAAAGAAAATTAATCACAACCAGAGTTAAAGATCAGAAGCAGAGAAAAGTCACAGAAAATGCTCAAGATTTTATTCCCTAGCACACATTAAAGATGTCAAAAAATGTCCGAACTGCTTGAAACCTGACACACGCATAAATCAGCAATGTCTAACAGACTGGTTATTCAATACTTTAAATTAAAAACAAAACAAAGATACAATTAAATTGCAGAGATGCAAAAAAATGAAAAAGCATTGAAATTCAGAGCCAAAGCAGCTATTCTCCTGTCACTGCCTCAGTATCGGAGGGAACTCAGGTCCGTGTGCAATATTAGCATCAAACAATCTCCAAGACTTAAGCACATCAGAAAAAGACAAATGTGAGCCTTAACATCTGCTTGTGCTCTTGAACAGTTTTTTTCAAGGTTTTTTACTGTTTTTGTAAACATAAGAATGATATTTGTCACACACACACGGAAAACAGCTAATCCTTCATAGACACACAAGATAGATAGTAAGAGCTTATTTGGAGTCATTACGATCCATCATGCAATTATGTATTTAGAGACTTCTTCCTATGCAAGTTATTTAACCAGACAGGCCACAACCATCTAGGAAATCCCTTTCACAGCTTAGATCCCTGGTATTCTGAACTTAGTAATACAACAAGCCAGCAGCCCAGAAGAAACAATTCTTCTAGAAAACAGGTTTCATTTTTACATACGGAAGATTTTGATTCAACCTCTTCATAGAAAAAAGATCATCCTGAACTGCTTTACAGAAGTACGATAGTTGGCAGAAGTCATCAAAAGTGAAAACGTCATTCCCCAGATATACTTTAGAAGTTGTGCATGCCTTTAAAGGGCTGACCAAGAAATCTGCTGGCTTTTTGAAGAAATATCCCCAGTTGCTTAAAACATGAAAAACTAGATTTTACATAGAAACTAATTGCTACAAAAAAGTTATAAACCCCTGAAACTAAGGATTTGTAATGGAAACGCTGAAGCAACGTCAACAGCCGCACTACTATAATCTTTCTGTTTGCCTCCAGCAATTCAAATATATTTCAGCTCTGTACACCAAGTTGATAGATATTTCGAATTTGTTATGCAGTTTGCTTACCATGACATAATGTCGCTGCATCTCTGTCTTCTCACTGGCCAGTTTTTCACATTCTAGCTTTAAACTGTTCAAGATTAAAAAAAAAAAAAGAAAAAAGAAAAAAGAAAAAAGCATGCATACTTCGTAATGCAAAACTGAACATTCTTCTGAGCACAGGTTTGCTCCCCTTTCCAAGCATTTCTCCAACACACACATAAAAATCTACATGCTAGCTCCTGCTTCGGAGTTAAGGGTGGGGTTGGCTCTTTCCCGCTCTCAAGAGATATTGCAACATCCTCATCTCCCGAGTGAGCGGTACATAGCACGTAGGAGAGTATTTTTCTCGGACAAAAAAAGCCCACTGGTTCGCAGAAAACGTAAACATGTCGGTGTACACCTATAACACCAAAGCTTCAGAAGCCACTTACAAATCCGTACTTTAGTTCTCAGAGTTTTTACCTAAATGAGTTTTAGAA